AAAGCCCCGCCCCCCCCCCCCCCCCCCCCTCGTCTCAAGAAATATCTGCATCCACACGAAACCACAAAACCGACACAAAACTATGTTGTATACATGCCAGACCAGTATGTGGCGCTGTAATTCTGCCACAGAGATGCATTAAAAACGGAGAAGAAGACTTGGACTATGCGCATAAACCTTGCGTGTGGTATACAAACGAACATGGAACAATACATTTATTAATCTGTGTTAATGTTAGTTAATAAAAAGACAATCGTTCAGTGTTTGTTCATGTTTTTGTTGCTGTTACGTGACGTAGCTGTGTCTGACTAGGGTCGAGACGTGGGCTGATGACGTCATCGTTTCAGAAAATATACGGATTCGCTGTCCACACGAAAACGCAAGGGTGGCGTTTTCAGATTTATCCACTCTGGGACCCGGTTTCAAAAAATGTCGGTTTCACTCTCCCAAAACGCCGGATCCGTGTGGTCGAAACGCCTATACGATACAAAATATATGCGTATACAGCTAAACGCGTCTCCGTGTGGATGGGACATTAGTCTTTATCTTGAGACGAAAATGCTTAATAGTCTTAGTCACATTTTAGGCATTTGAGTCTTTCATAGTTTTAGTCAACTAAAAGTCATTGCATTTTTGTTAACTTTTAGTCATTACTTTGTCAAACTGCAGTTACCAACATTTATTTTGGTAGCTATTTTATATGTAGTCTTCAAACAAAAATAGACATTAATTCTTCTCTCTTTAGACCAAATCAATTAAGCTTATGAGAAATTTGAATCAAGGATTGAATTTGGAAAAACTGGATTTTTGGGTGAACTATCCCTTTTACAGTAGTGAAAAGGGAGCAACTTATAAAAATTATAGTAGTTCATGTATATTATATATTTATAATTTTTGAAAAAGAAGCAGAATAAGACAATAAGACAAATATAAAAGGGATACAAATTAAACTCATTTTTCAGATACAGTAGGTTTACTTAACATTTATTTAACATCTTTTCTTGGTTAACATTTATGACACAGATAGGTACTTAATCAGGAATGCTGTCCCTTTAAGACGGAAGGCATGCATGTAATACTGAGACAAGTTCAGTTTTCACCCACCTGTTTACGTTCACTTAATCCATAACTGTCTGTATTTATGTGAATACTCTACACGATAGACATTTGGACTGCTGTGTGTGTATTTGAGCACTGAGAACTGATCGCGCGCTGTATATGAGAGCTGAAGAAGTGGAGAGTGTGCGAGAGAGCGCACTAATATCAGCGCGATTCCGCCTATCCCGCCTTCACTAACTTTAAGTTAATCAACGACGAATTGTGACTCCCGGGAAAAACGGGACGTCTGGTCAACAAATCTGTATATGTCAGAAAATATATTTAGAATTTTCGAGATTGTCCTCTCTGCAGAACACAAGATCCAGATAATTTGCTGCTTATTAATGCAAGGTGGTTAAGTTTAGATATTGGGTAGGATTAGGAAATTATGACATGACCGTGTCCTTTTTATGTTCATTATTTTTGTCTACTGTCTGTAGTTTCAGTAGTTTCAGTAAATAATAAGCAGCACAACTATTTTCAACATTCATAATAATAAGGAAATGTTATTTTTTATTTTTTTTGAGCAGCACATCAGCTTTGATCATGTGACAAGTTACACAAAAATTAAATCTGTACAGGAGCTTTGAAAAGTTTTTTTTCTCTTTTCTTTTCTTTTTGTGATAGTAAAGACCTTGTCATGTGATAAAGTCTTGTAATTGTGAGTGAACCTGCTGTAACGTAGGATAAATTTCAGACTTCTGTTATATTGTATCGTTTCGTACTGAAGACTGGAGTAATGGCTGCTGAAAATTAAGCATTGCCATCACAGAAATAAACTATATTTAACAATATATTAAACTATTTTTTCAATATTCCTGTTTTTACTCTATTTTTGAAGGCCCAAATCCCTCTCACACTGGTCGTGGTACATCAAACCATCCTTACAGTTGATCCTGTTAGTGAATAAGAGTATTTAGACAAGGTATTAGATAGATGGGAAATAGATGCAGACAGACAGTCATGCTGTTCGCCCATTAATTTTCTTTGTCTAACAGAGTCCTGACCTGTTCAGAGTGTTTGTGTGAGTAGAAACAGTGCTAACAAGATGAAGTCTCAATTTACTTACGTGTGACTGAATTTAATTAGGAGCTCAAGTAGGGGCCTATTTAGAGACCCCTTATCTGTGTTCTGGCTGCGCTAAGTTCGCCTCAGTCTTGTCCATGTCCTGCCAGTGTTTGTACATACGTGTTCACGACTCTCTAACCATTAGGCCAACCACAATCAACATCTCTCTCTTTCTTTTTTTTACTTTCAAAGCATGACACTGTGGTTATTGTGAATATTGTTCTCTTATGATAAATTGCTTCTGATTTTTTTTAATTCAGAAGTCCCTTTGGAGAGAATTGTCTGGCAAATAACTGAATACAAAATGTTACAATCTCTTCTGGTCTCTCCTTTAGAGATACATATGGTTTTTTTTTCTTTGTTTCTCTCTTTAGCTCGGTTTGAGAAAGGAGTGGCAGAGGGGACGGTTGACCCTGCCTTTAACCCTGTGGTGGCTGTTCGTCTGACGGTCCAGAAGAACTCCGCCGTGTGGGCAATTATTAGCGAGGTCTGTATGCTGCCTTTGGTTTAGGCCAGTCTAGGGCTGCACAGTATCTATCATAGTATATGGTAGTTGAGATTTCACTTTGCTATTGCTGTTGTAGGCTGCATTTATTATATTATGCATTAGTTTTGTTTAGATTCAGGAGTTGCATATGTGAAGCTCTTTTTGCACTAATGCCAGACTTATTTATTTATAACCTTATCTTTTGCTTTGTCTTTATCACTTTCAGGAAATACAACAGGAAATAAACATCTTAATAAATAAAAGAAATACCTTTAATAAGCACCTTTAATAAGCGTTATTCATAAATGGTCAATACCATGTGATTATTTAGTACATAAACGATTTTTCCATTGAATTTCCAGCACAAGTAACTATTTTATATATATATTTATTTATTTATTTATATATACCACTCTTGTGATATGAAATTACAGTAACGCTTCAGTATAAGGACCAGTTCCCTTTCAGTCGGTCACTCTCGACGTCACGTTGGATGACCGACGAATTGGGATCTCGCTTAGAGGGACCAATCTACTTCGAGTGTAAACTAAATGAGCATGTGATTATGGCATCCAGCTGCTGCTGATCACAGCGTGAGTATAAGTAGGCAGCAGATGCAGCGCATATTCAGCTTTTCGCTTTGGAGCCGAGCGGTTCTATCGTTCTGCTCCTGACCTTCCTACAGTAGTGAGAAAAACGACAGTCAAGCATGCTCTTCAGTGGGCTCTCGTGATGGTGGATGGCGCTTCAGCGGCGGTGGTTTTCCCGTGTCGAGTGGGTTGCACACAACAGGCTGCACTTACCCCTGTGTGTGTTGCAGACGGCCATCTCCCATGTGCGCTTCAGCACACTAAAAGAGCAATTTCCATTCTAAAAGAGCTTCACGGGTGGAACGTCTTTTTAAAGACACGTCTTTTTAAAGATGTCATACCATCCGTGTGTTTCTGGGTGCGGTCGTTACCTGGCGCCGGGTGATGGTCACGATCGCTGCCTCTCGTGCCTGGGCATGAAGCACGCTGAGGTGGCTTTCGTGGATGACTCATGCTCCCATTGCGGGGGTATGACCATCTCGGAGTTGCGGACCAGACTCCATTACTTGCAAGGAGGCGGAGTGCCACTGCCTAGATCTGGAGCTCCCTCTGGTGGCAGCTGGGGGCGTCCTTTTTCTAGCGGTGGGCGGACTGGTCTTACAGTCACTGTGAGGAATTCCCCTCCGTGGATGCCCAAACTCGCCGGCACTGCGAAACCAGCGGAGCTCTCAAAAGAGCAGGCTGGACCCTCCCGGGGGGTACCACCTGTTTCTTCCGAAGCTCCCCCCGACGATCGGATGTCGGCCGCAGCATCGGAGGGTGAGCTGGACTTTTCCGGGGATGAAGAAGAATCCGGGTGGAGAATCTTTTGTTTCTTTTTTTCTGACACTGACCTCGCAGCCAGTGGTACCCAAATTCTCGACAAAAGAGCAATTTCTTCTTTCTCTGAGTCCCCTGAGGGGACGGGGGGTTGTGGACGATCCAGAGCCGTATCACACTCACCCTCCTCTCTCGCCAGTGAGCAGCAGCGGGCGGATCGGGAGGACGAACCAACAGACTACCCACGCACCCTCTGCTCAAACGCAGGTCAGTGTTACACACACCCAGACCCCGCCTCGGACCGACAAAGAGACGCCCGGGCCGGGTCCCTGCGTTCTTCCGAGCTGCCCCACTGCAGGTATGCCTGTAGTTCCGTTGAGGCCACTTGCGCGGTGTCTGGGAGCCTGGCTAGAGCTACCCAGCCTGTCTCGATGGCTCCGTCGAACCGTCAGGCTCGGCTATGTGATTCGGTTCGCCCGGCGCCCTCCCAAGTTCTGGGGCGTCCACTTTACGTCAGTGAAAGCAGCAGATGCCCCTGTCTTGCGTGCAGAGATCGCAGTCCTACTGGCAAAGGACGCGATAGAGCCAGTTCCTCCAGCCGATATGAGGTCGGGGTTTTACAGCCCTTACTTTTGGTAGGATCCCAATTCGTCGGTCATCCGACGTGACGTCGAGAGTGACCGACTGAAAGGGAACGTCTCGGTTACATATGTAACCCTCGTTCCCTGAAGGAGGGAACGGAGACGTCATGTCCCGTCGCCACAGCTCCTGTACCACCGCTGAGCGGCTGGGTCACCTGAATATGCGCTGCATCTGCTGCCTACTTATACTCACGCTGTGATCATCAGCAGCTGGATGCAATAATCGCATGCCAATGTGCATTGGCTCGTTTAGTTTACACTGAAGTAGATTTGGTCCCTCTAAGCGAGATCCCAATTCGTCGGTCATCCGACGAGACGTCTCCGTTCCCTCCTTCAGGGAACGAGGGTTACATACGTAACCGAGACGTTCTCACTATTAACAAGTTGCTTATTAGCATTCCTACTATTAACATATTGGCATATTTATTAGTACTTATAAAGCACATATTCTGCATGACCATATTCTACATCCCTAATCCTACCCAATACCTAAACTTAACAACTACCTTACTAACCTTAGTAAGCAGCAAATTAGGAGTTTACTGAGGCAAAAGTCATAGTTAATGGTTTGTTAATAGCGAGAATTGGACCTTAAAGTAAAGTGTGACCGAAATGACACATCATTTGAGTTTTGGTTATACTGTCCAACCCTAGACCGATAGCATGCTCTCTCCCTCTTAATTCCTTTACTGTGTATCATTCGAATAATATCTGCAGTTTCTGAATATCTTCTAAACTTGATGCTGTATTTAATGCATTCAAAATTGCCAACACTGTTTGCATTCCGGTGAAATGTGAACTTATAAAAGATCATATTTTTCAGTTGTATCCACTTAAAACTTTTCATAGATAAGTGAAGGTAGAAGATTTGGGTGGTATTGTGTTATTACAATGTTATTACTAATTTATTGTATTTTGATAAAGCATCAAGCCATACACCATACCTCTTCAGTGTTTTTCTTTTTCTTTCTTTTTTTTTTTTTTTTTAAACCAGCCATAACAGCCAACATTGTCTGGCACATAAGGACATTTTGACAGATGCCTGGTTTAGTTTTGACACTGAAATCGCATGTGTCCAAAACCAGAACACAGTTGACTGGACAGTAAAATTGCTTCAAACTAGACTTTTTTTTTTTTTATTCGGTGATGTGCATAGATGATGTTCTTCATATGCCTGGTTCTTGACTGATGTTTTTTAATCTCTTATCAGATCCATATCAAGAGGATACCTGGGTAACTACTACTGTATGTCTCCAGTGGCCGAGGCCCTCTGGTCACCAAGACAGGTTTGTGCTGCTCGCATCTACAGCGGATCAAGAGTGACCCTCACATTATCAGAGTGCGTGAAGGAACCCTGGCTTTATGTTCTTCACCTCTTAAACTTTGCTTTTTTCCTCTTTTTTTTGTCATTTCGTCTTCCTCTGGTAGTTTTGTCAATTTCTCTTCTCTTCTGCTTGCCTTTGCCTCTGTCTTCAGACTTCGTTTTACCTTTTACTATTCCCTGAATTCTGTTGTTTGAATGTGACTACTACTGTACAGAAAAAAAAAACACTTTTTGACAATGTTTTCAGACACTAAATTTGTGTCGTGAAGGATTACAATCATCGCTGTCATTAAGGTTTGAAGTTCAGGATTCAAGGCTGCACCAATGCTGGAGAATATGTGCCCAGCCCTACTGATGAAGAATGTCTTCAGCACTCTGCCGTCATGGACTGTAACTGACCTTGGGGCAAATATACACTGCTGGATTTCGGCTGAGGGATGAAAGAGTGGGACGACAAGAAGGTTTTGTTTCGAAGTCTTTTTTTTTTTTTTAGGTTTTAGGCCGTTGATGTTTGAAACTCTTTTAAGAACATTTCGAGACCAGTTTATTATTTTATTGACTGCTTTGCCAAAATCTAAAAACATATTTCTAAAAACAAACAGCATATCTTTGGGCCTCTACCTGGTCAACAGAAGTGGCTTTTCTTCCTCTGTGTTGGTTTAGTGTCAACGAATCAATCATGGCTTTCAATCTGAAGGTTTTTAATTGCTGGTGTTATTATTATTATGATGAGGTGAATTAATTTATTTGAAATAAATCTTTAATTTGTACAAAAGGTAAATGCTTTTATTTTATATTTGGAAATGTATGATGTGGCAGAGAATGTATTGTGGCTTAAAGTCGAGTGATGGTTGATGTTTGTATCTTTGTGTAGTTGAGAAGGGTGCAGGGCCGCCCACTTCTGTGCCTTAACATCTAGTGTCCCAGTAGGGGGCCTGGTAAAGGACTGCCTTGTGCCCGGAGTCAAAATGCTTAAATCATCAATAGGACAGTTTGTTAGTTGCTTGATTTAAGTGAGACGTTCAAGTGTAGAGCATGGCATGTCCATTTTTTTGTTCCAGAGTCTTTCATGTCTTCATTTGTTCATTGAGCATTTTCCATCTCAAATAATCTGCTTTCATCATGTCAGTCAGAAAATGTTCTCCTTTCTATGCTGTATCACAAGTATCTGAATGCTCAGTGAGTCATGATTAAGTCCAGATGGAATCTGCAGATTTTTTTTCTGCACAGAATGAATTTAAATGTGGTGAAATGATTAATGAGGCTGAGGGTACTACATTTTTATGGTAGCTGAAAGCACAATCTACAGAGTCCCTAAAGTGACATGGTGGTGGGGAAATAAAACGAGTTGATTTTTCAAAGATCTTGCTTCTCTCAAAGTGTTTGCATTCCACCAAGAAACTGTGTTCTTTCAGAAATGTTTTGCGTTCCCTGACAAACTTTGGGTTGAGCCAAATATAGTATTAGAGTTTTTAGCAAAAATAAATAATAAAAACCTGAAATAATTCAGCCATACATTTTTCTCGCCATGAAAATAGCCACAGAAGCTGGCGTGGCGTTAAACACAAACAAACTTTGTTTGCTCGAAATACGTTTGTGATGGAAATATGAGGTAGGACCAAGAACTATTTTTCAGTACTTCGTGAGAGAACGCAAAAGTTTTGCTAGATATTGAAAAGGTTTTGCAAGCGAATGCAAAGTTTCTTGGGGGAAAGGCAGCACTTTTTGCGAATTAATGCAAAAGATTTGTGAGCAAGCGCAGATTTTATTGGGGGAAAAGAGAATTTTTGCAAGAGCATTGCAAAAGTTTCTTGGGGGAGTGTAGTACTTTTGCATGTAAACGTAGAAGTTTTGCGAGCGATGCAATGTTTCTTGAGGCAACACAATACTTTTGCAATTGCTCCCAAAAGTTTTGGGATTAAAATATGAGGTGGGGGAAAGAACCGTTTCATAATTTTTTGAGAGAAAACAACATTTTGTGAGCCAATACAAAGTTTCTTGGAGAAACGCAGTACTATTTACAAGTGAACGTAGAAGTATTGCGAGCGAACGCAAATTTCCTTGGGAGAACGTAGAACTTTTGCAAGTGAACGCAAAGTTTCTTGAGGCAACATAATGCGTTTACAAACTAGTGCAAACGTTTTGCAAGCAAACTTAAAAGTATTGAAATGTTTGTTTTTCATCACCTTAATCAAATAAGCCACACTATGTAAAAACTCTAGAACTTAATGAATGACTGCAGTTCAAAGGTTTCTATGGAGTGCTGCTGGTGCAGATTCTATGTGGACCTGGTCAGGAGCAAAATATTACCAGAACCGTAGATTTATAACAGAAATGGAATGGAACGGCTACATTTCCAGCTATTTTCAGAAGTGTTAAGTGTGCTGGTTTTGTAAAGCTACGGTTCGTATTTATTTTGCTTGTTGCTCCTGACATAGGGACTTGATGGCAACGTAACTGCTGTACAGATTTCCAAAGTGCTCTCATCTCATGTGATTGTATATATCTTTAATAAGATGAAAGTTTTAGTTCAGTCTGTCATTGTATAATCCTTGATGCTTCAAGTTTCAGAACATATCCTTTTTAGATACATACTGTTCACCCTCACTTTCGTGACTACTTGGAGCCGGATGTGAATCGCAGTGTGGTGTGTTGTAATAGAAAGCCAGTGTACTGTCATAAACATTTGTTTACAGTTTGTTAATGATCTCTCCTGAGAGGAGAGATGGAGATCAATTCTTGGTCTGAGTGTAGAGCACTGTATCCTCATTCTCCTTTACATCCTCATATGACATGACTTCTGGAGAATGGACTCGTGAAACCACAGTGGAGTGGTTTTCACAGTGTTTTGCCATATTGCTGCCTTTTTAGTCAGATTTGTGCTCAATGATGGGGTTCCACATCTGTTTTAGCACTGAAAGATGGATTGTTGTCCGTTGCCCTCTCGTTAAACTCTCATGGGCCGGTTTCCCATCAGCGCATGTCCATCTTGAAATCCACCCTTCGGTCTTACATTGAGATGAATCAGACATGAAACGTGCTCCTCTTGTGTGATGCATTCTAGACTTTCATGTGCCTTCATCTGTCTTTCTCCAGCTCTGACATTGATTGCAAAATAAACCAGTCTTCTTGACATAATTCATCCTTTTATGTTTCTGCGGTGTTCCCTCATTGCTCATTTATTTAACTAATTTATCTTACATATTTAATCATGCAACTGTGAGAAACATTTTCATGTTTTGAGGAGGCATGTTGTGATGTGATGTTAATAAAGAGTGTTGTATGCATGAATTATGATATTTTAGGGCCTAAACAATATTTTCCTACAGTCTTAAAGAAAAGAATAGGCCTAAGTTTAGGATTTAACAAACCAATCAAGATATTTATGGTACATATTTGTCAGTACTAATCAAATTAATGCATTTTAAATGCACAATAACCAGGTTTATATATATATTTATGATGAATCCAGTTTGTTTCAATCTCATGCATTCTAACTAGCCTAACTGAATCTTACTTCTTCCACGGGTATATGTATTATAGTTACATACTTGTTAAATTAAAACATTTAATTGCTTTCACAGTGAACAGTTTCTAAGCGATTTGAATAAATGCATTTTGAAAATATGATTATTTAAATCAAATAAATAAAAGAAAATCTAAGTAAATAAAATGAAACCACTATGTCGTGATTTTTTTTTTTTTTGGAGTGCAGATATTCTGCAGATATGTTACCATACCTTTTAGCGATTTGAATAAATGCATTTTGAAAATATGATTATTTAAATCAAATAAATAAAAGAAAATCTAAGTAAATAAAATGAAACCACTATGTCGTGATTTTTTTTTTTTTGGAGTGCAGATATTCTGCAGATATGTTACCATACCTTTTGTTTTATTTATGCATGTCTTACAAGTATGCATCACATTGTTTATTAATTTGTTTGTCAAAACTTTGTAATTCAAATCGGTAGTAATTTTATACAATTTAAATACACAAATCTTAAATGTAGGCCTAAATATTTTTGTGTACAGTTGTATTACATTAAATCTGGAATGGAAAAATTAAACCATTTACCAATAAAATGCCAGTCATTTTTACACTAAAAATTTACTGGACTAACAAACATGTACAGTAGGTGTATTTTTAAACATTTTCCCTGAAAATGCTGTGTTTCTTTAAAATAACGGACACCATGCTATTTTTAAGCGTTACTCAAGTCTCTAGGGGCCAATGTAAACTTGATATTATACGACAAAAGCATTATTTTAGTGCCATCTTCTGGTCAATATAAATGCTTCACACTGCTATATGACAGTCCAGTACTGTGCGCTTAATATAATAAATGATTGAAATCGATGCATAATTGTCGACCGTATAAATTCCGTCACTTAACACTATTAAACTGCTGAGGTTTGTAAGCGCGAACAAATGGAACATTTGCGAACTACAATTCCCACAATCCACCTCCGTTCCACTTCCTTACATACGTCATACCTAACGTGGCCGCTTTCATAATAATTCCGCATTTGAGTTATCTGTAGCTTGAGTTCTTTTTGCCACGTTTCTGAACCCACATTTCGCTTCAACTTGCTCGGATGAGAGCTCTCCAGAATTCCCAAATATTACAAGGATAAAGAGGACGATGGCCGCGCCTGCGCTGGATTAAGAGAAGATTTCAAAGCCCGTCTCCTTCAGCATGACTGAAAAAAAACTACTTTATTTTATATATAAATCTATATTTTCCCTGTGTTTCCTTCCTGCTGTGTGAGCTACTAAAATGAGCCGCACTGTGAAACAGCCAATCAGAGCAGAACTCAACATTATTATTCATGACCCTTCCAAATAAGGTAAAAACAGACCATTTCATTCTAGAGACAAATCCTAGGGTTGTAAATGGACAAATAAAACAGTTTCTGGGGATGTTTTGCCCTTACCTAAGCCACATACCTTCTACATCAGAGAACAATTTAAAATATTGTATCAATGCATTCTATGGCACCTTTAAATTAAACTAAATGAAAATTAGAAATGGTGCCTTGGCAACTATCTTAAATTATGATTTAAGTGTTTTTTTTTTGTATATGTTTTTTCAGTTCAATTTTAATCAGTAATTTGTACCTGTGTGCTACTGCCTTGAGTCTAATTTAGTCTTATTTTATTTCATTCATTTTATAGCTCTGTTTTAAACCAACTACAGCCAAGTGCACATGCTAACAAGTCAGAATGTCTTCACTGTATAATAAAAGCGCTTTCATTTTTCTTTTATTATAGCTGGACACCAGATCTCGATTCCGAGGCCGAAAGGGATACTGAATAACACCTTCAATGTGAATAACATGTTTTGTATCAAAATGCCGAGACATGCTCTCAAATGTGTAAATACGTATAATGCTTTTTAAGCAAACTTGTCTTGTGAAAAATAGTTGACTCACCAACACCAGAAATCATCAAATAAAACTGATTTCCAGTTCTGAATGTTCACTCATAAAATCACTGGATCCACAAAAGATAATATTCAAAACATTAATAGTTTTTTTTATCAATGTAATTTTTATCCCATTCAACAGCTGACTGTTATTTCTGTATGAATGGTTTTATGATTTTGTAAAAAAAGTGAAATCTGATGAAGTAGCCAGTAGCAAAAAAAAATGTCCACAAAGATGTTTATAAAACATATCGTAAGATAATTCCAGATATGGATACTAATGATCATTTATTTCAAAGCATTCATCATGAGCACTTTAAACCTCTCCAAGTCCACCTTCTTCAAGATGTGGGCTTCGTGAGTCTTCTTCAGGATATCGAGGTGATCTACAACCATCATTCCCCGGCAGCAGTTCCCCGCCAGCTCTACAGTGACGGCTTTGTGTTCAGTTTCAATGATATATGTGTCATCTATGGCTGCTGCCATGGCATAAGAATCACAGGAGACGAATCCCTGCCCATCCACCAGCTCCTTCTCAATCCTCTCGCTGTAGGTGGACTCCATGCTATGCTTAAAGATCTGCGTCATAAACCGAGCTTTATCTGTGTCCTGAGCCAGCCAACCGTCACAGAACTCCTGAAACAGACATGTGCAGATATTGTATAATGTAACATCGATATGGCTGCATATTCAGGAATGTATAAACCACCAACAGTTGTATTTACATAATAATCTATATACACATTTTAATAATGTTTAAGAAATGCAAATCTCACCCAGGGTATTTTACTGCGACAAGTGAACTCCCAGGATGCAATGTAAACTGGGCAAATAAATTCATTCAGAACAATATATGCTGCTTCAGGATCAGCTGCAAAGTTGTACTCTCCACACACAGTGGTGTTCCCGCGTGCTAAAGATGAACAGAAGTTATTCTCTAACCTGGTCTAAATGCATTAAAAATATAATAAATAGGCAATACAGATCAGACTGATTTGCACTTAGCGTACAAATGATTCTGGTTTAGGGCTGGGCAATATTGCATTGCATTAAATAATAATAATAATAAAAAAAATTGTCCTGAAGATATACAGTTCTGGTCAAAAGTTTGGAATAATTAAGATTTTTTAAAATGTTTTTGAATGAACTCTCTCATGCTGATCAAGGCTGCATTTATTTGCTCATAAGTACAATAAAAACTGTAATATTGTGAAATATAAAACTATTTTAATATATTTTGTGTAATTGTCATTGTACTTAAATGTAATTTTGTTATTAATGTAATTATTATCAATGCTGAAATAGTTGTGCTTTTTAATATTTTTGCATAAACCATTTAAAAACCATTCAAAAGTTTGAGGTAAGAATAATAATAAAAAAAAAATAGAAGTGAATACTTTCATTCAGCAAGGGTGCATTAAATTGATCAAACTTAGCAGTAAAAACCTTTAGAATATTACAAAAATCTATCAGGGTTTCCACAAAAAATATTAAGAAACAACAGTTTCTTGTGTTGCTTATTCAAGATTAATAATAAGATAAGGTTTTTTCAGCATATCGGAATGATTTCTGAAGGATCATGTGACACTGAAATCTGGAGCAACAATGCTGAAAATTCAGTTGTGTCATCGCAGGAATAAAATACATTTTAATTTAAACTGAAATAATATTTCTCAATATTACTGATTCACCATGTTTATGATTTAGTAAATGCAGCCTTGTTTAGCATGAGACTTCTTTCTAAAACATTAAAGGATCATAATTATTCTAAATGTCTGACCAATCTATATTTGTGCTTTGGTATGGCTTAAATTTACATTTATTTTGAGTGAATCGGTTTTAAAGTGACCGTTTAGATTCATTTTCATTGAGAGGAGCCATCATTGCAGCCAAACAGATAAAAGTCTGTTTTTAAGAAACACTGACAAAGATTTACTCAGAGATTTGAACATTCATCTAAATAGTCACTTTAGACAAATTCACTGGAATGAATCAAACCTACCAGCTCTAATATTGGATATTGTCCAGTCCTATTCTGATAAAACAGTATGTGTAAAGTAAAGCCTGCAATACACTACACGATTTTTGCCGCCGATTTTCCATCGATTTACTGTCTGGAGAAATCGATGCTAGCTGCTTGAAAGTAAGAGTCAGTCTGCAGATTTGAGTTGACAGATGCCACAGAAAATCGCATAGTGTATGATGGTCACAGACTGAATTTTTAGCTTCAGACTGATTCCATCCAGTCGGAGGAGATCAAACATGTTTGGTATTTTCAGCCGATTTTAGAACATGTGCGGTTTTCATTTGTCAAGCGTCTTCTAGCAACAAGGCGTACATTTCTGCGCAAGTTTGTTGCGATCGGAACGACTTGAAGGTCTGGTAGTGTGTGATCCTCAAACGTGTAGTGTATGATGGCCAGCTTTCCTTTGTCACTGTTTACAAAGTCGGTAAGTGTATGATGCCTAGTGTTTTAAAAATCTGTTCAGATTTTAAAAGTCATGTAGTGTATTCCAGCCTTAAGTATTAGTGACTCACAGTCTGTATTGCCACCCATAATGTAAAGGCCTCTGAGTTTCTGGGGAAATGAGAGGTCAAGTTTTACTGCCAAAGCCACATTTGTCAGCGGAGCCGTGGCCACTAAAGACACCTTAGAGAAACAGGAACAACACATGATAAAGTACTTGAAATGCAAGATAATTCCACTAATATATCGTATAATCATATAGACCTCTCCAGGATTCTCATTGACTATTCGGATCATGGCCGACACAGCGTCCTCTTTCTGGACCAGATCCAAACCAGGAGCGTTGGGGTCCGGGGCGTCCCCGAGTCCATCTTTGCCATGAAATTCTCCAGCACTGATGGTCTGTCCCAAGAGCGCTTTAGTCGCTCCACGGAATACTGGAATCTAAAGCAATTCAGAGACACAATCAGGTTTTCTATTTACTGCATCCTGTCATGCACTGGACAACAATGCATTACTTTACAGCAAGTAACGTTATTCTTGGAGTTGTTTAGCTCAAAATATATCTGCAAACAATTAGAATTATAAGAGGATATGTATTACTGAACATACAGAAAACCAGACAATTCAAATCACAATGTAAGGTTTCTGATTTCTGTTATATCATGAACACAAGTCTTGAGTGTTTATCCCACTCATGGATAAGCAAGTCTTTCAATTATGCTGAAATGACAGTCATGCACTACATAACAGTACTCTGCACTATTTCTATCAGGAGCTTATTTTGTTCAAATTAACATTTAGCAGATTCTGCAAGGTGTATGTAAACTTATGACCGCAACAATAGTAAATAAAATACATTGCTACTGTTCAAATTACACATTTAAACTCACAGCATGACATTTCTCATTCGTATAGCCCTGTCTTCCTGCTTTTTGTTCCCCAGTATTTCATACACCAATTTATCCCAGTTTCAAAGTGATGAAAACATTGCCGGAAATACTACCTCTTCTCCAACCAAAGGGTCAAAGTATGTCAAAAAAATTGCAATCAATTGTTTACAAAAATTGTCTACACATCTAGTACTGCGATTTCAAAATCAATATGAATATTGTATAATGAACAATGCATCATTGCACAATACAAAAAAAATATCCGACTCATTGTGATATGAAATATGGGACCATCTCACCTCCAGATGCTTACACACTTTAAGGACACGCAGGACGTTCTTGCAGACATTCTCTACTGAAGTGTTGCCCTGAACGCAGGTGATGCCCAGGATCTGCACACCAGGCACTGCCAGAGCCATCATGATAGCCTGAGCATCATCCACACCACAGTCCACATCCACAAGCAATTTCTTCATGCTGGCCTCTAGATAATGACATGAGAACAATTATATTCAGTTAACAGTGGTGAAGCCTGTTATGAAAGTTACAGATTCAAAATCCTGAGCCCTTGAGCAAGACATTTCAGACAATACTATCCCATAGGACTGTCCCAGTTATAACAGTTGGATACTTAGGGTAAACATTAGTCAGCCAAAGCCTATAATTAGTAGATTAGTAAGTGCATGAATGAATGAGGTCTCTCTGCAGGATTACTCTCACCTGTAGTGAAGTGTCGCTGGTTGTAGGTGTTGTAGTTTCTTGAAAGGTGTGTGATGCAGTCGCGAGCTCTTTGTATCTTTAAGAGGGGTTTATCTGTAGGAGGATCTTTGGGTAATTAATTACGCAACATGATTTAGCCTACACCAGTGTTGCCAAGTTGCCAAGGAATTGGGCTACTTCTGTTGGCCCGGGTTGTTTTTCATGTCCGCCGGTTTGAAGCGACTCCAATAACATGATATTTTTCCCTGGAATGCGAATTTTAGCAGGGGGCCCCCGCCAAAAACGTGTAAACGTGAGGACCCCCTCGAAACGCGATTGGGCGGGTTTTCTTGTGAAAACCTGGCAACCCTGGCCTATACCACGTTTTCGATTAAAATCATATTTTAGATTGTAGGGCTCCCATGTTATAAGGCATAGCCTACTGTATGTGGATAGCCCACCCACAGCCAACACAAAACAAATGGTTACACTCCTCTGAAAGTACATCTAAACAGTAAAGAAGACAGCCTATAGGCCTACAGAAGAAAGTGTGAGTGCACTGTGTAATCGACTGATCTTGTAGCATAGAAATATCAGCGGGTAGAATGGACAGGACGCCGATATGAAATGGATATCGCGGGTGGATGGTGTCTTTCTTGCACGTCGGTCGAAATAATTCACTTATTTTAACATTAACTGTTTATTTTGAACTCGGTCACTTAAGATTCATTAGCGTTGTCCGTCGGGATTCATGATTCGTTTGTTTGAATCAGATCTTTTTAATGATTCACAAAAGTCTTAAAGGGGTCATATGATGCGATTTCAAGTTTTCCTTTCTCTTTGGAGTGTTACAAGCTGATTGTGCATAGATAAGATCCCTGAAGTTGCAAAGACTAAAGTCTCAAAACCAAAGAGATATTCTTTATCAAAGTTAAGACTCTGCCACGCCCCCCTAAAACGGCTCCGAGAGAGAGGGGGTCACATCACAGTGGAGTCAGCTGTCTTAACCGTGGCTTGTGTACTGCAAACACATACCAGCGATTATGGTAAGGGGAGTTACATTTCCGACCAGTGCTTGTGGTGTTCGGCCAATCACAATGCACTGGGTCAGCTGGCCAATCAGAGCAGACTGCGCTTGTCGGAAGGAGGGACTTTGTAGAAAATGAAGAGTTTGAGAGAGGCGGGGCATAGAGGACCTACAATAATGTACAGTATTTGAAAAATAATGTAATGTTTTTTGAACATTAAAGCATGTCAACATATTCTGTTACACCAAATAATGATCTTTTAAAAAAGCATCATATGACCCCTTTAACGATTCATGGTTTTGACTACAAAACGGTGAACGGTGAACTGACTGAGTTGGCCGGAGCGGTCTTTCGGAATTGTCGTAATGATGATAAAAGTTAAACCAAACACTATAGACAGAGGTGCACATAATAAGTTTTTCAGCGTGCTTCTCATAAGAGAACCTGGAGATTTGGTTTGGTCCACACTGCACATAGTGTGACCTCTCCAAGTAGGTATAACTGCAGATCTCCAAAATGGGGCGTGAACTCCAAAAGTGGGCAGAACCTCCAAAATGGGGCGGGGTCTCTTCGCGCAAAGACGTTCACCATTGGCTCTGGCTTCGGCCAATTGTTATTGACTTACATTTCTAAATAAAACTTTATAAATTAAACATAGTTGATCTAAAATTAAAAAATGCTATGTAAAAAAATATTCTCCGTGAGAGCAGAGCCCAAAGCTCGTGGCCAGTGGTGTTCGGACTGGAGTTTGAACCTCTGCTTCATGATATAAATGGGAATCACCCACGAGCTCTCCCGCTAGCCGTCCCAGTGCAATGCAGGGGAAAGATTTTACTCTATCGCTTTGTTCCAAGCAACGGGGGCGTCCCCGGGCACGAAATTCGCAGGGTAGGAGGGGGTAGTGATGCCGGGTGTAACTAAAAAGGTGCCATTGTCCGGTTGGGGAGTTACGGAACGATCTCATATCGCATAATCTTATAATATATTAACTGTTTATCTCCTAAACTGCAACTTTCTTTACCACGCTATTCAGCGCCAATCCCGCTGTGCAGTCAATTTCTTTGGTTAAGGTTAGGGTCAGGTGTGGGGTAGATTTAGGGGTTAGTATTTTTTGTAGCATAGTGTAGTAAATCAACACTTTAATTGACACAACCAATAAAAACTATAGAATCAGCTGTGGGGCGGAGTTTGCACTGAAGTGGATTGGGGGGAAAAATTACGAATGCGTGTCATGTGCCTGTCATGTGCCAGTCTGTCAATGGGAGGAAGCCACGCCCTATTTTGGAGCTCCCGCCCCGTTTTGGAGTTCCCGCCCCCATTTGGAGATCTCCAGGCTGCAGTTATACAATTCTCGCCCAAGCGGCAACCTCCCGCTCTCTCTCATGAAGCCAACAAGGAAGTGACTTAAACTGTAATTCGTCAACTGGCCGCTAGAGGCTGGCTGCAAAAGGGAGTCAATCCCATAGACTCCCCATGTTAAAATGCTCTTTACAGCAGAAAAAAACATGTTCACAGCCTGGTTCAAAAAAGGATTTTGATTTATATAGCTAATTTTGCTCTTGATGACACCTGTGAGGGAGGTGAATTTTTTTATAACTCATCCGTTTAAATTAAATAAAGCCTTAAATTTCTGCATAATTAAGGGCGTGGCCACTTGAGTGACAGGTGGATTGTCGCTGCTGTCACCACCGTCGAGCTAGGTGGGCGTGGTTTCAACAACCAACTCCCGCTTCTTTGCCCATCTTCGATTATCCGGGAGTGACGCGAGGGGACGCGATGCTAAGATGGCGACGACCGCCTCCACCCAATTTTGAGCTTCAAAAACTATCTTCGGAACCTACGGGTGACGTCACAGACACTACGTCCATGTTTTTATACAGTCTATGAGTGTGACCCAATAAATATAACTATTAAAAAAATACATTAATAATAGTGATAATATTATTGCACTTTATTTAGTAGTGACGCGAGGGGACGCGATGCTAAGATGGCGACGGCCGCCTCCACCCAATTTTGAGCTTCAAAAACTATCTTCAGGAACCTACGGGTGACGTCACAGACACTACGTCCATGTTTTTATACAGTCTATGAGTGTGACCCAATAAATATAACTATTAAAAAAATACATTAATAATAGTGATAATATTATTGCACTTTATTTAGTTTGTTTTTAAAACAAAATAATAAAGTGTGATAATACTGTTATATTTTAAAATAAAAGGGAGTATTAAATACAAATACAATTATTTTATAGTAAACTTCTTCTTTTTTTAATATATATATATATATATATAGCCATTTTTTATTTTGGTCGCGCATGCGGACCTGCGGACCACTTATGTCGAGTTCACACTGCACGATTTTTCACGACAAATGCCCGAAATCGGAGGCAAATCGGTGCTTGTTCACGTGAGTGACAATCACGCAGTGTGAATTATCAAAGACGCGATCTGAGGGAATCGCCGACACGTCGCCGACGCCCGCAAAATATTTGGCATGCTTAATATCTGGAGCTGTCGGAGATTCACAATCACGCTGTGTGCAGAGTTCTGACTGAAAAATACATCGGCGATGACCTACAGCCAATGAGAGACCAAGATACAGGGCAGCGGGAAGTTCGGGGATGAGTTATATGAAACGTAGTTTGCGGACCAGTGTTGTCAAATCCGCGATTGCCGCCGGTTGTTTTTTATGTCAGCAGGATGAAAGCGACCCCAATAACGTGATATTTAGGCCCTGGAATGTGAATTGTACCAAGAGAACCCTGCCAAAAAAAATTGTATTTTACCCCCCAAACGGGATTTTTACTGGGGGACCCCCTCGAAAGCAATTGGGCTATTTTTAGGCTAGTTTTGAGTAGTAATTGGGCGGGTTTTGTAGCGAAAACCTGGCAACCCTGCACCAGACAGCGCTGTCGGCGATTCTTCCTATTGTAAAGTCATGCAGTGTGTAACCTCCTGTCTCGTTCCATCGTGCAGTGTGAACACAGCAACAACTGAACGCTACCTCAGATAGTCGTTCAGTGTGAAACCAACAGTGATGCGACGTCTTTGAAAATCGTGCAGTGTGAACTCGGCATTATGTGCACCCCTGACTATAACTGATTTTTCAACTGGTTCTTCGAAAATAACTTTAAAAGAACCGATTTGCGGGCTTCAGTCACAAGTGCACGCTGCTGTTACTTGACACCTGGCGCTTTTCTCAGCGCTGACCATGGTGGCCCAATCACAGTGCGATTTCAATATTAAAATGTTTGTATTTCATTACTTTCCAGAGATTGGTGGTCCCCCACCAATATATATACAGGGCCGTCCTTAGGGGGGTGCAAATGGTGCGGTCGCGCTTGAGGGGGCCCGCAGTGAACGGATATATATATACAGTGGGTATGGAAAGTATTCAGACCCCCTTAAATTTTTCACTCTTTGTTATATTGCAGCCATTTGCTAAAATCATTTAAGTTAATTTTATTTCCTCATTAATGTGCACACAGCACCCCATATTGACAGAAAAACACAGAATTGTTGACATTTTTGCAGATTTATTAAAAAAGAAAAACTGAAATATCACATGGTCCTAAGTATTCAGACCCTTTGCTCAGTATTTAGTAGAAGCACCCTTTTGATCTAATACAGCCATGAGTCTTTTTAAGGGTAAAACGCTTATTGTATTAGATGGAATATATTTATTCGTGGTGTCAAAATTAGCGAGTTAACGCAGGCGATTCATTTTTTCAGTTTAAAAATGCAATTAATGCAGGGGCGGGGCTAGGGTTGGCCACCACTCCACTCACAACTGCTGCTTCTGTCACATTTTCTCTTGACAAGAAGTGCATTTATTCAGTCGCAGAACGACTGAGAACAGGTGACCTTTCAGACGCGCACTCCACTTCACTTCAGCGGCAGGCGCGAATCAAAAGAGTGCGGAAACGGTACTGTGCTCGCAGCGCGCAATCTTCAATTGCACGCACAAGGCGCCGGAGCACGCTGTAGCCTGTATCCTTTCATATCAAAATGTGAAATAAACTACGTGCATGCAATGTCGTGGTCAGTCAAGTTATGAAGTTACCAAAAAGGCGATTAAAGCTGCCTTTAAACTGTGCATGCATGTAATACATCACATTTAAGAACAAGTCTCTGAAATGGTTTTCAAAACTCCTGGAGCAGCCCAGCACTGTCTCACTCATCTAACACACCCGATTTAACTCGTCAGATCATTAATAGAGACTTTAAGACCTGAAGTGGGTCAGAAAAGGTAAAAAGAGTTGAGAGAAAATACGATGCGTGTCAGATCCGCATCAAATTCAGCAGCTCTTAAAGAAATAACCTAATAGCCAAAACAACCTAATAACCAGCTGCTGTGATGTAGGACAAAGAAAAAAAGAGGAAAAAATAACTTTTATAGCTTTAAGGATCCATCTATATTTAATTTAGAATTTAGTGTTTGATAACTTCAATTTCTGTATATTTCTGCTGAAGGGCACAGGTAAATATGACATTTATTATAATGGGTTTATGTGAAGATTGTTTTAAGTTCACTTAAACTGATGACCTATAAAAAGGTGTCTCATGACCAATGTGTCACACAAGAAACATTTCATGATGGGTAAAAGCAAAGAGCTTTCTCAAGACCTTTGCAACCATATTGTTGCATAATTTCACCATAAACCGGCCACGACCAGGTTCTCCTCGCAAGATTTCTGACAGAGGAGTGAAAAGAATTATCAGAAGAGTTGTCCAAGCGCCAAGGATCACTTGTGGAGAGCTTCAGAAAGACCTGGAATTTGCATTTACAATTGTTTAAAAGAAAATAATAAGTAATGCACTCAACCGCCATGGCCTGTATGCACGCTCACCACGCAAGGCTCCATTGCTGAAGAAAAAGCATTGAAGCTCGTTTAAAGTTTGCTGCACAACATTTAGACAAGCCTGTGAAATACTGGGAGAATATAGTCTGGTCAGATGAGACAAACATTGTACTCTTTGGATGCCATAATACACCATGATTGGAGGTCAAATGGCACCCAAAAGCATCATGGTGTAGCATTGGCAAATTTCATATAATTGAAGGATATTTACAAAAATGTGAGGGGTGTACTCACTTCTGTGAGATACTGTATATATACAGCGTGTAAAATAAGTATTGAACACATCACCAATTTTCTCAGTATATTTCTAAAGGTGCTGTTGACATGAAATTTTCACCAGATGTCAGTAATCCAAGTAATCCATACATACACTCTCAGAAAAAAAGGTACAAAGGTACTGTCACTGGGGCGGTACACCTTTGTACCTAAACAGTCCATATTGGTACCTTAAAGGTACATATTAGTACCTAAAGTGTACATATTAGTACCTAAAAGGTACAATAGTGTACCTTTTGAAATGGTACTGCCCCAGTGACAGCTTTTGTACCTCTTTTTCTGAGAGTGTATGAAGAAAGCAAAACAAATAAGTTCAGAAATTAAGTTCTGTGTAATAAAGTAGAATGACACAGGGAAAAAGTATTGAACACATGAAGAAAGGGAGGTGCAAAAAGGCATGGAAAGCCAAGACACCAGCTGAAATCTATCAGTAATTAGAAAGCAATCCTGCCCCTTGTCAGTGGAAAATTAATATTAGTTGGTTCAGTCCCAACTGATGACCTATAAAAAGGTGTCTCATGACCAATGTGTCACACAAGAAACATTTCATGATGGGTAAAAGCAAAGAGCTTTCTCAAGACCTTTGCAACCATATTGTTGCATAATTTCACCATAAACCGGCCACGACCAGGTTCTCCTCGCAAGATTTCTGACAGAGGAGTGAAAAGAATTATCAGAAGAGTTGTCCAAGCGCCAATGATCACTTGTGGAGAGCTTCAGAAAGACCTGGAATTTGCATTTACAATTGTTTCAAAGAAAATAATAAGTAATGCACTCAACCGCCATGCACGCTCACCACGCAAGGCTCCATTGCTGAAGAAAAAGCATTGAAGCTCGTTTAAAGTTTGCTGCACAACATTTAGACAAGCCTGTGAAATACTGGGAGAATATAGTCTGATCAGATGAGACAAACATTGTACTCTTTGGATGCCATAATACACCATGATTGGAGGTCAAATGGCACCCAAAAGCATCATGGTGTAGCATTGGCAAATTTCATATAATTGAAGGAAGGATGAATGAAAAAATGTACTGAGACATTCTTGATAAAAATCTGCTGCCATCTACCAGGATGATGAAGATGAAACAAGGGTGGACATTCCAGCGAGACTGAGCCCAAACACACAGCCAAGGAAACTCTCATAGAGTTCATAGAAGAGGCCCACAGAACCTTCAAGATTTGAAGACTGTTTGTGTGGAAGAATGGGCCAAAATCATACCTGAGCAATGCATACGACTAGTTTCTCCATA